TGATTTTCTCCGCGCTCAGTGGATCACCGCAAGCGTGTTGTCGCTCTTGAGGAAACAGCCAGTCGCCTTGCGCGCCCCCTCGGGCAAAAGGAGCTTGGTCTGTCCCGTTTTAGCCCAGATAGAATACCCGCCGAGAGGCTCACGGCGCACCAGCGCAAGAGTTCCCACGATCAGCGCTAGAACGCCACCTACGGACGCGCACGCTTGAATCTCAACTGCCGCGTTTTGAACGAAAACCACGATGCCAACTCTGAGCAGCAAGCCCCGCCATCTCATCTGCTTGGACACGACGCAAAGCTGGCCACACTTGTCGGACAGCGGCTGGCTCACAGCCACAGGCTCGCACAATTCGGTCATCCTGACTTTGCCCATCGATGGGGACACCTTGACGAGAAGCTGCTGGACCGAACTCTTCTCGAACGCTGCCGTGTTTGCGATGTGAGTCATTGATTGTTTCACGATATTGTTCTTTCTTTCGTGAACAAAGCAATCGGGAAATATATCGTCCTCCTGGTCTGACACAACGTGCCACTGATAATGGTGTTTGGGACGATGGCATCGACGTGGTACGCAGCCTTGTGCGCGTCAAGAAAACGGCCAACTGCACGCTGCATGGTACCTTTCATAGCCAACGGCGTGGAATAATGTTTTGCCTCGGTGATGCTGTCCATAACTTCGCACAGACGAAAGTAGCTCTGGCGCTCAAGCTGGACCTTATGCACGGGGACGTGCTCAGCGAGAAAATATCGGATGAACTGGTATGCAGACAACAGTTCAGGTGCCCCCGCGCGAAACGTACCACCTGATTTCCACGCCTTCTCCCGAGGCTCGTTGAATAGCTCGGCGAACTCGCTCCTGGTTAACCCTCCAGCGCTCCAGTGCCAGTCTGCCTCAGCGAACGTCTTGAGCACGCGGAAGGAAAACCCAGGGGTGCATTCATGAATCGCATTCAAAAGCAAACCCAGTTCAATATTTACGATGCCGCCTGCCAAGTACACGTGCATGCAATCGCGCAGAAGGCAAGAGTGCGGGAGCACGTGCGGACGGAGATCTTTGTCGGCCAGGACGCCGTGCTCATTCAAAGAGAACCCCATCGTTGTCTGTAGCGTTTTCAGCGGGCCCCCCCACGCCTGCGCACCTCATCCAGGATGTCGTGCGCGCGCCAGACGTCCTCGTCTGTCATCGGGTCGAACTGCGAGGGGTCAGAGCACGAGACATCGACCAGGTACGTGCCAGTCTGATGATTGGCCAGCGAATCAGTCACGCCATCTTTGTTCAGCTTCACTGCGTTCTTGCAGGATATGGAACAACACTTAATGCCGCCATAACCTTTCGCATCGAAGAAAGCTTTCGTCGCAACTTCGTCCCCGATCAAACGCTGAAACTTAAAATGCATAATCCTTGGTTGGCCACCGCACGACACGCTGACTCCAGCCGTGGACACGCTGTCGGTCCCGAGCAGGAGGGAACGCAGGGGCGCCCTGGCCGCGGCTGGGAAGCCTCCCTGAAGGTCTTTAGCAGTGGTGGCGCGCAGCGCGCCAACGGGCAGCCATGCCCCTTCGCATCGCAGATAGCGCCCCATCTCAAGTATGCCGATATACCAGCAAGTGGCCTCTCGCTTGTTGTTCAATCTCAAAGCATCGCCAGGTACTACGTCATCTATGTAGAGCGCCAGGCGCCACGGCCTGTCAAGACTATTTGGCGACTTCGCCACTGCATTCTCAAACTCCTCCCTGAAGCCCGCGCACTGTGCAATGAGGAGAAGCTGATACTTGGCAATGGTCCAGTCAAAGGCGTCGCCGCCTCGTTTTTGCAGGGCCAGCTGAACGAGAACGTCCTCAGTGAATGTATCCGCGCACTCCCGCACATCTCGCCGAGACGCCGCTTCATCGCCCCCCCAGCGCGGCAAGCGCCGCTACGACGTCGCTCTCGCTAAAGTTCCGCCTGCTCAGCATATCGAGGATCCTCCGTCGTTTCGCGAATGGCTCCATGGCCGACAAAGGCGAGCGGGGAGGCGGCGAATAGGGGGAGGGGAAGTGGGGCGCGGGACGGCGCGCCGACCACCCGAAGCTGAAACGGCTGCGATGATGAGATGGTGGAGCAGCAGCAGCAACGCCAGGAAGAGGAGGGGGGGGCGAGGGGAGGGGGCGGGGATAGCCCCCCCCCCCTCCCCCTCCTCGTTCCGGAACGAGGAGGAGGAGGGGGAGGAGGAGGAGGAGGAGGAGGAGGAGGGGGGGGAGGCGGAGGAGTTGGAGCAGGGATGTTCTTGGGGCCGCTGCGATGTTTCAGCGGCCCCTGGAACATCCCTGCTCGCAGCGGCCCCTGAAACATCCCTGCTCCAACTCCTCTCCTCCTCCTCCTCCCCCCCTCGCCCTCCTCCGCCGCTTCCCACTGCGCCTCCTCATCTGTCTCCTCTCCCTCCTCCTCAGGAGACAGAGGCGCGGCGTTGAAGTACGCGGGGTGAGAGAGAGGCCCGCTGAGCGGTTGAACCGCTGCTGCA